CCTTAAGCCCTTGGAAATATTTTCTCCCCCTGTCTAGTGGAGAAGGGGGAGTGAGAGAGTGGCTGTGTGGATACCTGGCTGCCGGCCAGGGTCAAACCACGACAACTGTTCTTACCTCAAGCCACAAGTTTTACTTTATTTTCCCAATTCTGCTCCTTGCCCCACTGGGAAAGGGGGAGAGTGAGTGAGCGGCTCCATGGTGTTTAGTTGCTGGCTGTAGCATTTAGTTGCTGGCTGGGGTTAAACCAGCCAGCTAGATGGGGTTAAACCAGCTGGATGTCTACCACAGGTAGATGTCTGTAAGAGCATGCGTCTGTAAGAGCATGCGTGATGGTTTTGGGGGATTATACGCATGGAACGTGAGTGTGATGATTGGTGCTCTCTTACGTGACAGGCTGATACATGCTTTTGTAGTGGTGTGAATAAACACGCTTTACATTCTGAGTTCTTAGGAAGAAAGAAGGGATGTTCTTTCAAAGACTGCACGCACGCTTCTGAAATGTAAAGGTTTTTATATGCTTCTGACTTCAGGGCTAGAATTACTGAGTAAAATGCATTTGCGTCTGGAGGAATAGGAAGATGCTGTATTTGGCATGTAGACTGTTGTGGAAGGACGTTGACAGCTCACCTGAAGTTCATATTTTGTCAATTAACACTGGATTGGTCAGGCAGGGCTCGCCTTTGGTATAACCATGCTGGCTGTCTCGAAGTACCTCCCTGTCCTCCATGTGCCTTAGCAAAACCTTTGGCAGCAACTGTTCTGGGATTTCCCCTGGCACAGAGGTGAGGCTGACAAGTTGGTGGTTCCCAGGGTCCTCCTTTCTGCTATTTTTAAGAACAAATGTAATGTTTCCCTTTTTCAGTTGCCGGGGACTTCCTCTGACTGCCATGACTTTTCAGATATCATGGAGAGTGGCTTGGCAACTACATCAGCCAATTCCCTCAGTCTTGAGGATGCATCTCGTCAGGTCCCATAGACTTAGTATATTCAGGTTCCTCAGGTGGTCACAAACCTGATCTTCTCTTACAGTGGGAGGAACTTTGCTCCCCTGGTCACTGTTGTTTGGTCCATTCCCTCAAGAGGTGTGGGAATAGAGGTTACCAGTGAAGACTGAGGCAGAAAAGTTGTGTACCTCAGCCTACTCCTTGTCTGTTGTTACCAGTTGTGCCACTTTTGCTCATTGTGGGGGTGTTTCTTGGACCTCCCTTTTCTGGCTGACACGCCTGTAGATGCCCTTCTTGTTATTCTTTGCATCCCTTGGCAAGTTCAGCTCCAGCTGTGCCTTGGCCTTCCTTAGCCCATCCCTATGCAGTCAGGCAGTGTCTCTATACTTTTCCCAGGATACCTGTCCCTGCTTCTGCTGCCTGTATTCTTGCCCATAGAATATTCTAGTTAGGCAACGCATAAATGTTAAATAATTTCCTTCATAAACAAACTGTTCCAAGTAAACTAGTAAGAATCCAGCAGAGTACTACTAAAATGATAGGAGCCTAAAGCACGTGACCTGTGATAAGATGCTGAGGGACCTTGACAACCTCATTCTGCTGAAGAGAAGGCTAAAGGGCAGTCTTAGGACTCCCTAAATAAGATTGATCACAGAGGGCGGAGCCAAGCTATTACTTAGAGGCTGTAAAATCTCTGTTTTGTGGATTTTATGACTTGGTTATACAAAATCAATGCTCATCTGAGCTAGTGTTAACCATAGTTCTGTATTGTTTTTTTAATCAAAAAACAAGATTTTATACTCCAGCTGCAAAGGCAGAATGCAGTTTATTAATGAATTTCTCAGCTCTGTGGAGAAAAAAGTGATTTGGGGGAGGATGCAAAATGAACTGTAATAAATACTTAAAATGCATCTAGTGTGTGGTAGTTCTGCTGCACCGGTGGTATTTGCTTATCTGATACTTGTGGAAAAAAATAAAATTCATGTTGAGGTAACTGACTGATCTATTTTCTTTCTTTATTTCCTATAATATCTTTCAACTGCTGTTACCCAAATGAATTTTAGCATGTTTTGAGAAGTTAAGAAAACCCATATCCTTGACAGCAGTAACTCAGAATGACGTAATAGCTTCAGTAGAACTAAATTGGTTAGCGTCAGCTGATTCAAGATCTTAGTTGCCGAGTTTCATTTAGGATGTAATGAATTCCTTAATTGCTTTTTGCTTCTGAACGGTACTATTATATCTAATCCTTTAAAAATGGGTCCTACAACAAGACCACATGGGAGGAAAAAATATAGTTTAAAAATCCCTGTGGATTTTGTTTGTTTGATGGAAACAAATGAAATAAGATTGTGTTCTGTCCCAACAAAATTATTTTAATTTTCTGGGTAATGCTGGATTTAGCTCTATTTATCAAGTCAATAAAGTAGATTATTTAACATTATTTTTCCTACTTATTTTATATATTAATGTTCTTAGTTTTCTTAACGTTTACATGGCTGGATGGAATGAATAAAATTATATGGAGGGCAAAAACATGAGCTCTCCTTGAAAAAAGTGGGGTTTTTTTTTAAAGAAGCCACAAAACCTGTTGTTTTTATGAACACAAACAGTCTTAACAAGATATTGCAAGTAGAATCAAAATGCTCTAAAAACTCAAGTTCAAGGAAAGATGAAGGTCTTTCATGCGTGCGGAAGAAAAAAAAGTATCTTAATGATACATTCAGAAATTCTTTCAGTATATGGAAGTTCACTTAATCGTTACTTGATATCAGAATCTTGTAATTTACGGCAGTTGTTAATTCTGTTTGAAACTTGTGAAATTACATAATTTAAAAAGATAGAATAAATGTAAATCGATAGACCAAGAATAGTTCTTACTAATTTATGAGAAGGGAGGCTGCTGGCTCTTAGCATTAGTACCATATCTGTTTCTAGCTAGACAACCTCATTACGTGGCTTTGCTGTGACAATACTCTGAGTCGACTGGTCTGCAATGTGTAGTCGGAGTATTACTACACGATGTTACAGCGTACTGTCAGTGATCTTTACACACGTGTGATTGTGCGACATACATAGAAACTCGTATACACTTTTTCTGAGGACAAACAAAATTTGAGTGTGTTGTCAGATGTTTGTTTTTGTAAATGCAGTTAAAACAGTTTGCTTAGAACTCACTGAATGCACATTTCTTTCTTAGGAACACTGTAATAAGATGATAAATTGTAATTGCTAAATCTGTCTGATTTTTTTTTTTAATTTTAAGGGTCAAGATGGATAGCACAGATGAACCTCAGAAGAAAGTCTTCAAAGCTCGAAAAACAATGAGAGTAAGTGATCGACAGCAACTTGAAGCTGTCTATAAGGTTAAAGAGGAGCTGTTGAAGACAACTGAAGTTAAACTGTTAAATGGAAAGCATGAGAATGGAGATTCTGATTTAAATTCTCCTTTAAGCAATTCAGACTGTACGGAGGACAAGAGAGAAGTTAATGGCCTAGTGGACTTGTGTGCTAATTCTGAAGAAGGAAGAACAGCTGCTGATGAAATTAGTGAAGCCAGAAGCCCTGAAAGTACAGCAGGGAGTATAGTCAATGACACAGAACTCAAACCTCTAACGCTGTCTCCGGACAATGTTACTCTCGAGGAAGATGAAGATGCTGATACTGCTTTAGCTTGTGAGGTTGAAAATGGAGTGCTTGGTAGCAATAAGGATAACTTCCATGAAGAAAATAATACAGGTGATCGTTCGGACCAAAGAGAGAGTGACATCCCATCAGAAGGTGAAAGTAGATCTAACTGTGATGTTAGTGGCTCTTCTGAAGAGAACAGAGAAACGAATGACTTAACTATTAGTTCTGATTCATCTGGTGAAGAAAAGAGGACTGAAGAAGTAACTGTTGAAGATGCTGTTGGAGAGGCAGCCATCTCTAGCAGTATGGGAGCTGATCAGGAACCAAAGGACAAACGGGACAGCCCTGCAGGTCTTCCAGAAACCACTGTTCAGAAGAAAGTAGATGAGTCAAGTGAAAGTATATTGGACACTGCTGACTCCATGGAAACAGATGAAATTATTCCAATTTTGGAAAAACTTGAAGATGAACTGAGCTCTTTTTCTAAAAGTTCTCTGCTTCCAGTGGATGACACAGTCCCAGATTTAGAAGAGAAAATGGACAACTGTTTGGGTTCACCATCCAAGCAGGAAAGCAATGAAAGCCTGCCAAAAGAGGCTTTCTTAGTACTGTCTGATGAAGATGATCCCTGTGATGAGAACGAGGAACAGACTGAAGTGATACCAAACAAATCAAGTCTTCCAGGTAAGAATTTTGTAAATTGGTAGTTTCGATTCAAGTCCAGGATTTCATTTATTTCTTAGAATGACACACATGTGACATGTTTCTAAATCAAAAAGACAGTTTTATCCACCAATTCTGTAGTACATAGTCTTAGAGTTTTAAAGGGTGGAATTTGAGGTTCAGAAAAAAAAAAGCAACACCAAAAAAAATGGTATCTTGAAGATCTGATTTGTTTTGTGGTTTGATGTGGTTTTTTTCCTCATACTCCTCACAAAATGGGGACAGAGTTAGTGGGTAGAAGAAGAAAGATGAGCAGTTGCCAGACATGTAACCGAAAGATTTGTAGAAAGAGAAATGTGTTCATTTACTATTCTTGAGGAGAAGAAGGATTTCAGATTTCTTGAGTGGGCAAATAAGCAGTAAGAGTGAAAACATGCTGATAATCCAGGCATGCCACAAGTCCCACTTGAGTCAAATTTCTTTTTTTCACTAAAAGACAGTTTTGCAAAAATGCAAGTCGTATATGGTATTCACGGCATATTGCTTTTATTCATTTAACTAACAGTGTTTTTTATCTAACTTTTATCTGATTACTATGCCAGTTGATTAACATTTGAAAGCATTAAGTGTAGGAGACTGTTAGTTTAATCTCTTCATGTAGTTAGCAGAAGATTTTACTTATGCTAAACTGAATGAATGTCCTTTGGAGTCTATTATTGTCATACAGTTTTGTAAGCATTTTTTTAATATATATATTTCTGAAAATAAAACAGGTGAATAATTTGCAGTCAAATTGACACTGCTCTTCTATCTATAATTGTCGTGGTTCAAGCTGACTGAGTGGCAGGGTAAGGAACCACAAGGTTGCTCACTTGCTCGCTCCTCCTCTACTGGGAATGAGGAGGAGAATCCAGAAGGAGCAGTAGATGGAGCCTTGTGGGATTGAGATAAGAACAGTTTTTTTAATGATGAAACATAATAATAATGGGGAAAAAAGGAATAACAGTAACAACAATAGTATTTAACTAGACAGCGTATAATGTGAGTAATGTGCAGCGCAGATGTCTTGCCGCCCGGAACCCAAAGACACAGCCCCTGTGCTCGTGTCCCGAGCTTTTCAGAGAGATGAAGAGAGAGAACCCTGCCCCTGCCAGCTCCCGCTATGTACATCGCACATGACGTCATGATAGTATCGAATATCCCCTTGGCTAATGGCTGGTTTAGATAGCTGAACAGAACCCAAACCATTCAGGAATAAGCTGTGTCCCTCTCCCAGCTTCTAGCGAAAATTAACCCCATCCTAGCTGAACCCAGTACACTAAGTAAGAAAGCTGTTGTTTCAAATTATCTTGGCTGGGTTTTTTTCCTTTTTTCTTTCTTTCCCCCCCCCCATATATATATATATATGTATAGCTTTTTATGAAATAACAACCATGCAAACCCAAATGTGTTTAAACATACTTGACTGGGTAGGAATTCCATAGATTAAATAAGATCCATGTGTCTTTCAGTGTCTGGGAAGTTAGTAGCCATAGTTATTCATCTTGTTTCTCTAATGATAAAACTGTC